CCTGCTCCCCGAGTCTGCACAGATGGTCCTCTGGAGGTGCTGCCCGCTTCTGAGTGGAGGATGCGCGGGCCTGCCCCCAGGACCAGGGACAGCGTGGAGCAGCCCCGCAGAGTGGTCTGGGTCTGGGTGGGCAGGAGCCGCGTGGGGAGTGGCGCCACCTGCTGACTGCTCCTTCCAGAGGGAGTCCGCACACTACTTCGGCTACGTGTACTTCCGGCAGGTGAAGGACAGCTCCGTGAAGAGGGGCTACTTCCAGAAGGTGAGCCCGGGGCCCCCTGAGTGGCACCACTGAGACAGGCGCTGAGGGCAGGGGCACCGGGGCAGCAGGCAGGGGGTGAGGGTGCCCCCCACCCCACCCTTGCTGCAGCCCCTCCCTCACCCAGCACAGCACCTGGGCCCAGACCCCCTGCTTCTCACTCTTAGGATTAGGATGTGAACTTCAGCCTTGAGCTCAGACCCCCAGAGAAACCTTGGCCACATGCATTTCGTCTGAAGGCCCAGGGTCCAGCCCCACCCACGTTTCCTCGGGGTTTCCCTTCCTGTCCGGGGAAGGCTGTGGTTTCCCAGCTCGTAGCCCTGGGGTCCGAGTTGGGCCGGCCGGGGACAGCTGTCTTGTGAGCTGGCGGAGCACACGGCCCTGGGTGACTCAGGATGAGCCAGGCCCAGGGCCCTGCAGATGCCTGCGCGGCTGGGTGACCTCTCCCGGCCCGGCTGGGTGACCTCTCCCGGCCCGGCTGGGTGACCTCTCCCGGCCGTGGGCCCGCAGTCTCTGGTGCTGGTGTCCCGCCTGCCCTTCACCCGGCTGTTCCAGGCGCTGCTGAGCCTGATCGCCCCCGAGTACTTTGACAAGCTGGCGCCCTGCCTGGAAGCAGGTGAGTGGCCATTGGGACAGCCAGAGAGCCTCATCGTCCAGCTGTGGGACCCAGTGGCCTCGGCAGGCCGCTTCCACGGGGCAGGCTCCTGACCCTGACCCCCTGGACTACAGTGTGCAGTGAGATTGACCAGTGGCCGGCCCCGGTGCCTGGGCAGACCCTGAACCTGCCAGTCATGGGCGTCGTCCTGCAGGTGAGGGTGGCCGGCCGGGCGGAAAGGTGCCCAGGGCATGGGGGTGCCACTCCTGGCTGGCAGCTGCTGCCTCTACCCCCAGGTACACGTCCCATCCAGGGTGGACAAGCCTGAAGCCAGTCCTCTGAAGCAGTGTGGCCAAGAGGTGGGGCCCCTCCTGGGCTAGTGGCACTGCACCTGCATCCACCCACTACCTGCCTGGACCTCCCCACCTCCCTGCCAGGAACCCTGTGGGATGGCCAGACACCAGGCAAAGCCAGGGGCCTCTGTCTGGGTGCGGGGCTGGGTGCGCCCCCCCGCCCCGTGCTGTGGGGGGTATGGGTGGGAGGTGTGTGGGCAGGGGCTACAATCCTCAGGGCTCTCCGGGGTGAGGGGTGCTGTTTGGGGCTTAATGGTGGTCGCTCGCCCTCCACCTGATGCCACCCACCCCTCCCGTCAGAACCTGCTGCCGGCCCCGCTGGTGCTCACCAGTGTCCACGAGCTGGACCTGTGCAGGTGAGCCCTTAGGCCGCTGCTCGCTGCTCACAGACTGTGAGGGAGCCCACAGCCCGGCGGGGGCAGGCGTGGGCAGGCGGGGC